TCACATTCTGTGTTCGCATAAAAATTATGTTTATTAACTCAATTTTTTCATTTACTTTTAAAATTACTGCTATTAATTATCATAATAATCCTAGTAGTATACAATTTAAATATTTTCATATTATTTTAAAATGCACATTGTATATAAAGTACATATAATAATTACATATTGTATATAAAGTATATAATAAACCTAGTTATAGGAAAATAAAACTGAAAAGAAAAGTATACATTGTTGTTAACCTAAGAGCAGTCATCAGAGCATGTCCTGACAATTGCCCTCAGCAGCAGGGCTTTGGAGCTGAAGCCAGTCAGAGTTTGTATTTTTTACTGGAGCCAGAGCCCAGTCATATATTCTTTAAAAAAATTCTCAGCTTCAGTGCCAATCTTTTTTTCTTAGGCGTTAACTTCTTCAGCTATTCACTAGAAAGTTTAAAATTTTTCACTTTAAAATGTGTGCTATTTCTAAAATATCCTTATGATGCAACCCACCCAATCCTATCACTTAATTAAAAAAAAAAATCTCTCAATGTACAAAAACATGTTTCACTTTTAAAATATTTTTAAAATTTTGTGAATCTAATGAAAAGTTCTCTAACAACTTATTTTTCTCACATACTACCAATGATATATTACCTGAAATATCTTGTATTTTTCCAGAATTAAACAAAATTTATATCAACTGTAATCAATAATACCATAATATGGACAATATTTTAGTAACTTTTAAATAATTAAAATGTTGCAACATTGTGTAATTTTGTTTATATGGTATGTTAAATATCATGACAACTTATAAGCTGGCAATTGTAAAATCAGAACAAAATCAGATGCAGGAGTAAATACTGTAATAATAGTAAATAACTGGTGAATAGTTGTTAAGTAGATAGTTGTTTATTGGTATCTTATCTTTTTTACTATTTTCTCCACTTTAATTATACTTTAATATATTTGAAAATGATGATAATATTACATATTGTTATATATGATCAAAGGATCTATTGTTTATATAAACGCAACTAGATTTTCCAAAATTCACACAAAAATCTATATTTGCAGCAGAAACAGTTTAATTACAAATGTTTTTTGGCCTTTTTTAACTCCGTTTAGAGTATTCTCTCTTTACTTGCATTGTTTATTTAGTTTATTTTATATTCTCACTTTTATGTATTTTTTTTTTTATTTAATTTTATCATCAATTTCATCATTTATATTTGTATTTATCATATTTTAGTTTTATTATTTTGTTTTATATTTAATCAGCATTCACTGTTCCAAGGCATTTATGTTGTATTCTATTTTCATTTTATTTGGTTCTGTTTTTTTATCCAAAAGATGGTTTTTACAAATGTTTTTGGTCCTTTTTTTTAATTAAACTGTTTTTGCTGTACACAAAAGTCACACAAAGGTTTGTGAGACTTGAAATTCCAGCTAAGGTAATCTATATTTTAGCCAATTTATGAATCCAGTTACAACTACTTTAAATAATAATAATAAATATTTATAGAATTCAGAAAGTGCTACAATTAATTTTTCCATTCATGAAAGATAAATTAATATATAATAAGTTGATTACACAAGAGTTGGTTAATCAATTTAAATATCTGCAGAATGTAAATTATTTATTCATATTTAATAAACAAAAACAGTATATTTTTCATTATCTTATACATATTTAATGAAATACTAAGATAATCATTAAATGAAACATTAGAAACCCAATTTTATAATTTATTTTACTCTTTAACAACTTTTAACTTAAAATACCAATGAAAAACTAGGTATTAAATAATATGAATTTATAAAAAAAGTTTTGAAAACATTTTCTAATTATTTTATCATCACCTTCCAGTCATTTAACAGTTTGGTACAGTACATAAAACATCTAGTTTGATGGAATCATACTAAAATGAAAACTGCAAGTTTATAGTTTCATATTCAACAGTATATTTTTCACAGTTGATATTAATTAAAATACTCATTTCCCCCCTAAGTTAAATGCATGTTGCATAGTTTAATATTTTTTAAGACATTTATGCCATATGTTGGATAAGATGATCTATGATAGTAACTTAATAGATACTACATGACTTGGAATTCTTATCTTATTACATCTCATTACTGTATCTTTAAAATATTCAAGTAACAATTTACATAAAAAAAAAAATCTAAAATTTATATAACTATATAGGATTAAATATGAACAGTTTAAAAAATGAAATTAAATAAAGAAAAAGTGCTTTTTGAACTAAAACAAAGAAAAATTACCAGGAATAAATAAAATATATTCTAGAGTTAATTTATTTTCTGCAGATTGACATAATAAGTATAAAAATTTTTCTAAAAACTTTTATTAAATCATTAATATAATATTCACACAAGACCATTAATTAAAATTATTATATCTCTAACTGCATTATTAATTAATAATCTCCATCATACCTTTAAAATGCAGTCTATTTTGAACAGTTACCGAACGTTTTTGGTCTAATTAATAGACTTTCTTCAGGATCGAATGTAAAGAATTTGAACTTGCCAAATGGTAATTCCAAAAACGCACGTTCTACAATCTTCCGAGATTGTAGATCCTAAAGAAGGTCTATTAATTAGACCAAAAACATTCGATAACTGTTCAAAATAGACTGCATTTTAAAGGTATGATGGAGATTGACCATTAATTAAAATTTAATAATCTGATTTGTATACTATCCATACTTAAATTCTGTGAAACAAATTCATAAATTATCTTTAACTTAATCTAAACCCAAACTTTTCTAACTAGAGATCAGAAGTCTTCAGTAATTTTTTTGGGAGCATCTCAAATACTGTAACTATATAAAATAAATACAAGGTGTCCACCATGAACCTGACATCTCTTTCGACTGCCATATCAAAGTGCAAGACAGTAATCAGATGTCGTGCATTCCATTAGGTGGAGAAACTATGGAAGTTGTATAGGTAATTTTGAAAACCCGCCAAAGTGACTACTGCCACGTCACCTACGGTCACCGTAGGTGACGTGGCAGTAGTCAAACGCAAAATGGCTTCTCCACAAGAGCAGGCGCAAGCCGTGTGATGGTACGCTGAAACAAATTCAGTTATTTAACAGATTTAATTTTCCAGCAAGACGATGCCCTTCCACATTGGAGCCTGCATGTTCAATGTTTTCTTGACACACAGTTTCCCAATTGTTGGATTGGGCGCAGAGGACCGATACTGTGGCCTCCTCGATCGCCAGATATTACGCCCTTAGACTTTTTCTTTTGGGGGTTTGTCAAGGACAAGGTTTACACCGGTGTCAAAATTCATGACCTTCAACATCGTTGTGTGTCCATTCACGATGCTGTTGCTGCTGTCACACCAGAGATGCTTGAAAGAACCTGGCAGAAAATGGGAGTATAGATTCGATGTTCTACATGCAACAAAAAGAGCTCATGTAGAGGTTCACTGATTTTTCAATAAAACTTTTTGTGTTTTTCATCATAAAATGTGCGTTACTTTACATCCTTCCTGAGTGGTATTTTTTACAACAGTTTCAAATGTGTCAGGTTCTTGGTGGACACCCTGTATATCATGCATGACAACAATTTGCATCACAACTTTCAATTTGATTTGTTGCACATTATTATTTTACAATGTATTTCACTTAATTAATAATAATAGCTTTAAAAATAAAAATTATTATTTGTATTATTTCACATTTTAAGTTTTAAAATTTCCATTAATTAGCATCAAATTGTAAATCACAGTTTCAGAAAAGCTGATCTAAACTTTAATTTTGTATTATCCTAGACAATAATCTCATTATTATTAATTATAGTAATAATTTTTTTGCTTGCAATTTTTATGAAAATTTATTTATTTCTAAGCTTATATTCATTTATAAATCATATTTATAATGCATTTCACCCTAAATTTGATACATTATTTTTAAAAAAATGACTTATAATTTATTATTTAATTTATTATATCATTCATTGACTTTGCATTTGATATTTAGAATTAACTATTAAATTCATCATCTTAATTGAGATAAAAGTTATTAGTAAGAGATGAAATAATTTTTGTACTTGATGATGATGATATAATAAATTAAATAATAAATTATAAAATTTATTATATCATCATCATCAAGTACAAAAATTATTTCATCTCTTACTAATAACTTTTATCTCAATTAAGATGATGAATTTAATAGTTAATTCTAAATATCAAATGCAAAGTCAATGAATGATATTTTAAGATATAACTCATTGTCTAAAATTAAACAACTTATGAACAAACAAAACATTTATCAATATCTAAATATTCCTACAAATATAAAAATTTTTGCAATAAAATTTACTTTTTTATCCAACAGTTTCAAAAAATTATTTCATCTCTTACTAATAACTTTTATCTCAATTAAGATGATGAATTTAATAGTTAATTCTAAATATCAAATGCAAAGTCAATGAATGATATTTTAAGATATAACTCATTGTCTAAAATTAAACAACTTATGAACAAACAAAACATTTATCAATATCTAAATATTCCTACAAATATAAAAATTTTTGCAATAAAATTTACTTTTTTATCCAACAGTTTCAACAAATAATCAATAAATTCTTTTTCGGACAGAGCTGTAATAAATGATAGAACTTTTAATCATTATTGCTCTTTTTGGACTCTCCGAAAAGCAATAATCATTTAACTACTCTTAAACAAAGTTAAGAGAATATTTTAATGATTGAATCTTTTTTCTATTATTGACAAAGTGTTTCATGACGGTGATTAAGAAACAGAAAACTTAGTAATTATGTAAGAATTTCCGACACACCATATTTCAAAATTAATAATTTTATCATCAATTTTTATTAAGTTTGTTAAATAATGAATATTTTTAAAATACTATTAGTTTTATAATATACATCACACGTGTGTATAAAATTTTTGTTATTTTAAAATGTTTAACACGAAAATAATATATTAGTTGTAGTTTGGTGCATTTAAACTAACCTTCTCTTTGACGATTCTCTTTCGGTTTGGTCCATGGCACTGTCAACACAATTAGTTAATTCAGTCCAATCTGCATGCAGACCGCACTTCCAACCAGTTGAATAACGACTAAATAACCAAAATCTATCTTCTGAATCCGGTCTGTAACATTTACATTTTTTTCTTCCCTTCTTGCATTGACACGGCTGCTCTAAATCTAAATCTCTTACTAAATGTCTACCGAAAGCCGTCCCTCCGGTCTTTTGAATATGCAGGAAAACAATAACATCGGATCCTTTAATATCGAATTCGAAATCTTCTTTGACCATATCATCGTACGACAGTTTATTTCTCGGTAGAGAATGAAGAGGATTGGATAAAAATGATATAGGCTTTCCCATATTATCGGAAATGTGCTTGAGACTTAATTTGTTCCAGGTGTGATACCTGGATTGGGAATAACTCCATCTATTGAAGGCGCACACTTGTTCCGAACATAAATAACCTAACACTAAGATTCCTAAGACTGTAACTACGACACAAACAGATAAAAGTAATTTGTATCCAGATCCCTTTTTAAGCCAATCCATCATCTTAACAGAATTTCCTTTCACTCCATTCCATTATGCTACAACTCCAATCAACTCTTCCTCATTTTTATCGTCTGATGGCGAGTAAAACGCCCTCTACCATCACAAACATACATTTTTCCGCATTTAAAAAATAACTACTAATTTCCTACAAAAATACTTAATTAATAATAATAATTATTAATTAAGTATTTTTAATTAATTAATAATAATAATTATTATTATTATTATTATATTAAAGTTTATTTGAGTGGCAGTCTGTCCTATTCCTGCAAGAATGCACTTTTCAACTCCTGGGTGGTTCTCGGAGGGAGAATGCGAGCTGCAATTGCCCTCCCAAGAGCGTCTCAGACGTTTAATAGGGTTTAGGTCTGGAAATCTGGCTGGGCAATCCATCCGGCGAATGTCTCACTTTAAAGATAATCGTCGACAGGTGAGCCCTATGTGGACGAAGTTGCCATCCAAAAAAAAAATGATCCGAGAGCCAACTGCGCCCCTGAAAACTCGAACATAAGGCTGTAGGCAGTGCCGGCCCGAAGCAAGTTTTAGGATGGAGCGAGATCCTATTATGGCGCCCCCTTGGTTGCCCCTAATTTATANTATACAAGATATAGCAGTGGTGTGCCGTGACATTTGACGATAGGGAAGCTGTGTTTCTGTAAGAGCCGACATCCAGGGGCAATCAGTCAATTGCGCGTCAGTGATGTAAGCCAGTTAAAACCGTAGACTTCTCTAAATGCATTTTTAATATCACAATTACATTCCGAATCGCTAGCCACGATATAAGGGCTACAATTAAAGATAAAATAATAAAAACTTATTCGGTGAAATAAAATGTGCGATGGATGTACCGATACATACCTGGAACAAAATATTCTTCAATTGTATGAATATACTTTTGAAGAAAATTATAATTAAATATAGCTTTGTAAAAAAACGTACATAAAAATATAAAATATTCTTTACTTTTTAAATCTTAAAACAATGCACTTAGTCAAATAGCTCCCTACGAGTGGCTAATGGAAGGAATCGGAGACGGTTGCAGAGCGTGCATACACTCGGACAGCCAAATCCCCAGGGTGCCGATACCGGTCAACGCCAGATATCTCTTTTGTCGCATCACTAGTATATCTGAAAGGACGCGACAGGGCTGTTGTAGATTTTAAACGTTTCTCATCATAGCTGTAAAAATCCTTCATATGAACCAGAAGGAAAGAAAGAAAGAAAGAAAGAAAGCTGTAAAAATCTAAATAAGTTAAACTTTTAATAGTCATTTGTTTTCTAACTAATTCGTCTTAGAACCAAGTATCCTCAGAAATTTCCAAAATTTACAACTCTCATTGAACTGGAAAAATTTCTGTCTTTATTACATTAAATTAATAATACGAAGAAATCAGTCTCCACTGTACACGGCTAGAGATGATTCGGTTAAGTTTTTGTTTAAGTAAAATTTCGGCTCTTTCGTCAGGCTTTTGTTTATGTCCCCAATTCCCTAATCGCTTAATTATTTAACTACTTCTTAAGTAGAAATAAGTCGAAACCGGTTACTTTGTACTCGAATATTTGTAGTCTCGGGAAAATGTGGAAAGACAAATCTTTATGACAAACGGATATATAAATCGTAAATTTAAGGAAAATAAATTCTAGAGCTTTTTCTGGTACCTGGTGCATCTCTCTCATTCATTAAATTTAGTTGTAAATGACGCTGTCGAAGTAACGGTTAATTTTTTAACACTATACAAAAATTGTACACGTTTTTTTCTACATCCCCTTAAAGATGGGATATACGAAATCGTAATATCACCGGTTTAACATTGAAATCCGTGAGTAATATAAAATCGGAGAGCGGAATAAATATATCAAATATTTTAATGGATTTTTTAAACTCCTGTCAACTATACAGAACTATCGTAAAAACATATCAGTAAATTCTTATCGGTTGGATTAAGTTACAAATCTACTCGTTATTCACGTAATCGGCCAAATATTCAGCGGGCGAGCGGCTAACAGCCCAGAACCGGTCCCGGATAGAATTGGAAGCGTTATATGTGTAGCATCAACCCAAGGTCGTAGGCTTCCACCGGCTAAACCGGGTGAGGTTGGTGCTCCACAAAACGCATGCGCGAATCTGGCTTTTGGATGCTGACAATACGGCGCTTCCACTCCGCCACTAATATTCGAATACAGTATACAATAGCAATCTTATTTTTTTTTCATGTGTAGTATAGAAATTTGTAATAAGATACATAATGCGGTTATAATAAAATATTGTGCGATTATTTTCATATATTTAAAATTTATATGTACTGTATTTATTTTTTAGAAAATACAAGGAAAGTGGCGCATCCACCGCTTCTAATGACGGCACACCAATAGTGTAGTGTACCTACTGAAAGACTAGGCACAGCCAACATAAGGCACGCTTAATGAATTTATGCGGCCCGTGATCAATCTTTAAATATTGGATTTAATTTCAAATAATTGCTCGAATGGATCCGCGATAATCCCTTATACCTTCACAATGTGAGGTGATGGTAAAGTTGAGAAATTCTGACCCTAAAAAAATAAAAAATAAAAAAAAGCTTGCTAGAGCCACCTCTTTTCCGGCCAGTGAAAAAAGTTTTCTTTCCAATTCGGCCCGGGGGAAAAAACTGTTGGCCACCCCTAATCTAGATAGAATAAAGAAGGTAAACAATATTAAAGAATGGGGAAAAATATAATTGATTGGTTAATTTTTGTTTAAGGCATTGCTAGAATTTGATATTAATGCTACAAGAACGTATGATTAAAGTAAGTTTCATATTATATATGTCGATTCCTATGGAAATTTCATTTTAATGAACAATACAATAGAGCGTCGTTTATCCGAATCAATTGGGGACTGGGGTGGTTCGGATAACTTATTTTTCGGATAACGAATCATGTACGAAAAAATATATTAATTTATCCCATGTTGAAATTTCTCTCCGTTGCGTGTCGCTTCGCGTTGAATTTTCGTCGATGTTAAGCCTAACGAAGACTATTGTATCGTTAAAAATTATTTTTTTATTTTGTACAAACAAAATAAATTTATTGAAAAATATAAAAACAATAAAAAAAATTATACTTCAGATGTTAATTTAGTATAAAAAACGTAAAATATTTGAGTAGCCCGAGAAATAGCCGAAGATTGCAGCGCCACAGCACTAGCGAAACTTCAAATTTGCTGACTGGAACGCGTTTAACTCGTTCGACTTTACCAGAGTCGATAGATTAATTAACTGGTCTTTCGACTAATAGTTCAAACTTAGCTAGAGACAATATTTGCCGCTAGTCGGCGCCACTGTTAGAAGGAGAGCGTTGATCTTGTTAGGTATATACTGAAGTCAGTGATTTTGACCTATAATAAATTGTTTTTTTTAGCTACATAAAAATGCCAAAGTGCTTTGTGCCAGGATGCAAGGCAGGATATAAGTCATCGAACCAGAAGAGATATTTTTTCCGTGCTCCTGGTAATAAGATTGAGGAGTGGAAGCGATGCATTCCACGAGACGACAAGATGCTAACAAATAAATGTTACGTTTGTGACGTACATTTTGCGAGTAGATTTATTTTAAAAACTTTCTCCCATGTTATAAATGGAGAGAAAGTAGAAATTTCATGAGATCACTGGGCATTAACGTCGGATGCATATCCATCAAACTTCCCTAATTGTTCTAAGTACATTAGTAAGTCTGTACCTAAAAAAAAAAAAACGATCAACGCGATGTCTCACAAGAAATGAAGAACCAACTAGGAAGGGATCACGAAAAGACAATACCAAAGGTAAATATTTATGTTTTTTATGTAATCTTAATCCTCAGTGAATCATGTAATTTATTGCCCTTGCTGAGTCGCAGTGCGTCTCTCGGACCCTGTGTTTTAATGTAAAATTAAATTTTATCTATATTTAAGGAACATTTTATATTTAAAAAATGTTAACTAAAGATTGAGCTGGGTTTGTAAGATACACTATGATTCACTGAGGGCTATCTCTCTGTGGCCCATCTTTCCTTATAAATTCTTTAAGATTAATCGTCTGATATTTTTTTTTTTTATCAATCATTAGATTTGCATGATACACACTCCCTAGTAACAACTGTAGAAAAGGAAATAGAAGAACCCTCCATGTCTGAAGCAGCAACTACACAGCATCCTGAGCTGTTATATGTCAATAAAATCTCTGCTTTGCAGTCTGAATTGTTAAAAGTCAAAGAGGATTTATATCGGTGCAGAAAGCAAAAGATGATCTATAGGAAGAAACTGAAAACCCTTCAAACAGAAAATCTCAAGCTTCATCAAGAAAATACTGAACTTAAAATGAAACAGTTGTCAGCTGATAAACTTGATTCCTTACCACCAAGACAGAAACTTATAATAGAGCACATGCTGAAAGCATGCCATATAAAAAGCAAAAAGGGTATGAGATATGACATTAATTGGTTACTTGACTGTTTACTTTTAAAAATTAGGTCACCATCTCTCTATGAATTTTTGAGAAATAATGATTACTTGCCTTTACCCTGTCAGTCTACACTGCATCAATATATCAGAGGCATTAATGCCAAATTTGGATTTGATGAAGATCTTTTTGTTATTTTAAAGACAAAATTGGAGACAATTCCACAAACAGAACGCCAGGGAGTTTTAATTTTTGATGAAATCACACTTCAAAAACATATAGAACTTTCAAAAGCTACTGGTGAAATGATTGGACTTGTTGATTATGGTGACAATTCTGAATTGCCACAGAGTGAATTTACAGCAGGTGATCATGGCCTAGTGTTTATGTTCAGACCTCACTTTGCTAGTTGGGTACAATGTATTGGCACATCCTGTTCAAAAAGCTTTGTCCCAGGTTCTGCTGTTGCAAAACTTATTTTGCAAGCAATTATTCATTTAGAACAGTGTGGTGCAATAGTCAATGCAATAGTTTGTGATGGTGCCAACACAAACAAAGCAACTTTAAAAGCTCTAGGAATTTGTGCAGACACAAATAATATACAATGCTCATTTACAAACCCTGCTGCAGATAGACAAGTACTGGCTATTATTGATGTACCACATATTT